TATGCAGCCTGGCAAAATCCAGCGAATGTTGCGAACAGGAAGCCCTCCTTGCTCTTACTGGATGAGGCAGGTTTGCGATGAGGGTTTAGGATCTAGGGTTTCGGTTGGGTTCCCCTGTCAGTAACAGTTGGATAATAAATATAATATGGTTATATATAACCCTTAATAGGACCCCTAGTACAGACTGTTACCGGGTGGGGGCAGAACCCAAGATCTAGGGTTTCGGGTTGTCTTCGAAGATTTCCTTATCAGACGGCCCCCTGAAACAATTCTGCTGCAAGAGAAGGTCCTCGAGCATCACGTTTTAGTACCGAAAAGCAGGAAGCTCGTGGTAACAGCAATTGTCCCGCACGTTCTTAGCATATTTAGACTCTGTAGACACTTCGCACGGCCAGCACAGGACACCATTTCGAGGTGGTTTGTTGATGCCACGGCAGGGGCCGTTTGAACTAGGACAGGGTTCTGGGGGTATATATTCATCTCATGCTCCTGGCTCTTTTTCATTTGAATCTTTAGCGTTATCAACCGTAAGCCCCAAAATGCGAAAGTTTAATCCCTAAATCCTGAACCCTAAACACCAATAAGCCCTAAAGGTGAAATGTGTATAGGGTCTACGGCTTGGGTAATAGGGTGTAGGAACTGGGGTTCAGCATTTAAGGTGTAGGGGTTAGGGTTTTTTTCTCCGGACATCCGGTTAACAGTGATTGAGATAATCAACTTTGTCCCGACTTACGGGGACCGTGTACCGCTGTTATAGTTTGGATGCTGCCCAACCCAGTTACAGTTGGGTAGCGATCATTGTATGAAGATATACAACCCATGTCATGACCCTTATCTTACAGTGGTACTGCGTGAGGCGGTTCCAGAGTAGTGGTCTCCAAGCACACCAAACCCTGTATACTGTCCACGCTAGAACAGTCTCCAGATACTCTCATTATATTAGCATTGCACCCCTCATTAGGGTCCTATAAATGACTTAGACAATCGCACTGTTGGTACATACCCTCACTCATCAACAGTTGGAGAAAAGCAATCTCTTCATGTTAGTCTTATATGCCCACCGTCCCTACTATTAAAGATGCCCACCAGCATGTAAGGTCTCTTCTTCGAGACTATTTCATTCCGGGGTTTTGGGGCCTAAGCCCTAAACCTTACAGTTTGGGGTTTGCAGCCGTGGGATCTTGCGAGTTTCCCCTGTCATCGTTCGAAAACGATCAGGGGCTCCACATACGAAGCCAAACAGTTGGGGGCACAAAGGGGCATAAAGGTAGGTTTAGGTAGATGTAACAACGTCTCTTGTGGTCAGTACTATAGAGAACCCTCGAGCTTTGTAATCGGGTTTGGGTTTAGGGCAAGGACAGCGGCTGAGGCTGTGAACTCCGACTATGATAGTTTCCTTTACTAAGGAGACCCCAATAGAGACGCCAATATACCATAATCCCTATCTTAAGGATCCCCAAAATGGTACCCGAATTGCAGGAAACCCCAATATCTCTTCAAAGGCTACGCAGCAGATGTTACACAACCATGCAAAGGCAACGTGTACAAATCTTGACGCGCCCTAAACCCTCGACCCTAAACCCCTAAACCTTGACCTGAAGCACCAAACCCTTAACCCTGCACCCCTAAACCCTAAACCCCTAACCAAGTGCATGACTCAGACTTAAGTCTGCTGCTAGAAAACCATTTTTCCCATGTGATGAGGTACAGGTACTCAATGTCATGCGAGATTGTCAGTCTCATCCCCATACATCCAATATACGCCTAGTGTCCATTTCATTTTCCACGTTCTGTTCTGTATTGGGATCAGATCTCCAGATGCAAAATAATAATCCCAAAGCCCTAGGCCCCTAATCAGCTGTTGAAGCCTTCTCAGCTGTAGTGCCCTACAGGCTACGTCGGCCCTAGCCACTGGGCTCCAAAAGATCATGAGGTTTTGAGGTTGGTTTTAGGGTTTAGGGCGTAGGGTTCAGGGTTCGATTTTTGGGCTGTAGGGTTCAGGTTGAGGGTTAAGCCCTAAACCCTAAACCCTAACGCCCTAACCCCCTAACCCCCTAAACCCCTAAACCCTGAACCCTAAACCGCCAGGTTTAGGGTTGAGCTTGTAGGGTTGAGGCACAGGCAGTCTACCCTAAACCCTAAAATCTGAATTGTTGTCAGTCTTAGAATATCGGGCAAGTAGGCTGGCAAGATGTTCTCCAGCAGTAAGGATCAGTTTCAATCATGTGTTCCCTTACCACCCCCGCACTAACCCACCAAAGGTCTTCCGTAATTAGCGTTTTATAGGGCTAATCACAGTTAATACAAGCTAATGAAGGGGAATCCAGGGCAAGCAGCATCCATGACCCGACATGTAGCGCACAGCCACTCTCCCCGGCAGTTCTTGCATAGCCTACGAGCAGAACATATGTGCACAGGTATACGCATGCATGCAGACACTCAATAGCAGATGAGTTTGCAGAAGGAAAAGGGTTCTCCGTGCCATGTATCTCTTGCGAACATGTCCTTACAGTCGTGTGATGCGGGCAGTTGGACGTGGCCTCCAACAAGAAAAGCGGCCCCTACAGCCCTGGTCCTTGAGCAATTCAAACTCTGAAGCTCGCAGCCCTGGAGCCCAGCAACTCGAACCCCTAACCCAAAACCCCTAAACCCCAACAAAAACCCCTAAACCTGAACCCTAACCCTAAACCCCTGCTAAATCCCAGACTTCGAAACTTTCCTCCAAGGACGCTGAGAACGAGGGCAAGGTCCAGGAGGCGGGAGCCGACGTGAACCATAAACCCTGAACCCTGAACCCTAAGCCCAAAACTCTGAAGCCTAAACCCCCTAAACCCTAAACCCTAAAGGCAGAACTTCACCCTGAACCCTAAATCCCTTTTTTGAGAGATTGATGGACAGGTGCAGGGCTCCGTACCGTCGTTCCCTGTGAAGCACCTAAGCCTGAAACCCCATCGGTTTAGAGTTTAGGGCTGTAGGGTTTTAGGGTTTAGGGTTTTAGGGCTTAGGGTTTTAGGTTTTAGGGCAGTTTCCATTTTCGTTTGGGTTCTTCGATTCCCTACGTAACCATCAGCAAGTAACACATTATTGGAGCCAGTCTAAACTCCTAGTATTCCCTTTAATAAGCCCTGCAGTAGTGCCCTATATAGTCCCCTATATCAAGGGGCTTAGACTGTAGCTCATTTTGGGTCAATCCCCCACCCAGTAATAGGTACCACAAGGGACTATTGTAGGTATGTTAAGGCCCTATCAATTCCATATCAAGGAGCCATGGCTATAGGGGGGGATTGACAAAAAGCTCATTGGGTCGGGCTCTGCGGTCTGGCGCTGCAGTCATTTCGGCTCCTGAGTAGCACGACAGGGATTGGGTTTAGGGTCTAGGGTTTGGGCTTAGGGTGTAGGGTTTAGGCATGTCCAAAAACAGGGGAACCCTAATGCAGACCCCAATATACCATAATTAGCTCTGACTATAGAGACCCCCAAAAAGGTACCTCCCCAGTTTCGAGAAACCCCGATTGTGGAATTCGCAAAAACATATCCATACAGCAGATACCGAGCAGGGTTGCGTCTTATGAGCCCTTGATCCGCGTGATGCGGGTCTCCCGAAAAAGACACAGAAACGCCTATATGAGGTGGCGGAGGAATGGGGACAGGTTCTGCAAATATGTTGTGTGTCACTGTCTTGTACCCTGTACAGCCTCCCAAGTATGGTTGGAAAAATGCGAAGAGCGTTTCCAGCTATAGTCCATCGAAGAACCCGAGGTTCATCAGCGGCAGGTTTGGATCCAGTATAGTCCGCACAAAATCCCCTATAACCCTTATGTGAACCCCTCAAATGTGTATGCTGGCCTTCTTGTTTATCAGGGTTGCAGGCCATTCTTTTACGCACTTTGGGCGCTGAGGTCGTCCCTGTCATCTACGGAGAATAGACACAAAGGTTTCACCTTAAACCCTAACCCCAAAACCTAAACCCTAAAACCTTGACCCACAACCCCAAAACCTTTACCCTAAACATCCCTAAACCCTAAAATCCCTTGAAAAAACATCTTGGAACCTGGCCGAGCCATGCTACACGTTTGGAAAGCTTCAGGGGAGGAGGTGTTCAGCGCACCAGCAGATGCTTGGCACATTCAGCCTACCCAAACCCTTAAAGTATGTAGAATAATGGCCTTTTGGGCTGTTTTGAGGGATTTGGGGCTATTATTTAACCTACTTTTGGGGTTTAGGTAGTCCTGGTTCGTATCTTTTCTGAAAACACAAACGTTGGGGACCTCATTGCAATAAGTACCGTTGATACTTAAAATCCTGTATGACGCTGATATACCACAGCACCATATTTCTCAAGGTATAAGGTCTAGGTACTGGGGGTTTTAGTATCAGCCGTCAGGACCAAACAAAATTGGCCGTGGTTTTTGCTACCTACCTTGTCTTCCTGTTCTTGTTTTCGGTTTCGGGCTTAGCGGTGGCGGTGGTGGCGGCGGCGGCGGTTGTGTTGGTGGCGGCGGCGGTGGTGGCGGTGGCAGCATGGCTGCGGCCGCGGCGGTCTTCCTGGCGTGGTCTGGCCGTCGCTGTTGCTTTTGCGGACCCTTCTGCGACGGCTACTAGTACACTTCCATGAGAACTGTTCTATCATGGACAGTTATATACTATATATATATATATGTAGTGCGCCCCCTTGCTCTTTTCAAAGCTCTTCATTCTTCGTCAGATACTGACTGACAATTTGCGTTTCAAAGGGGAGCCAGGGCTGTCGATTTCAGGGCTTCCTCGGAAATGAAGGGAGAAATTGATATGCAACATTGGAGAAGAAAGTGGCAACTAATTACGATCTGCTGTATAAGCTTTTTTGCGCATCGGCTCAGTGACCTCAGACATTGGATAGGGTTTGGGGGTTTAGATGATGAAGTATGGGCCTGGGTTGTTGCCATGGTAACCACGCCCCATGTCCCACGCCCACTCACCACATTCCAGAATGCCCGAAATTAGATTGCAACAAAAGCCAGGAGGAGTTTGTGAACGTGCAAGCTCTGAAGAAAGCTTTGCAGGCAGGAAGGGCCATTGGTAGTTGGCTGCCTTTGTGGGTCTTCGGTAGGTGATTTCATAGCGAGTCGTTGAATGTGACTGTGTTGGCTGACGCCCAAGCCCCTAGACCCCTTGGGCCAGTACCCGGCCTCTGCACAAATCTAAGCACCTCCTCAAGAAGGCAAACTCCATATCTCCCTTATTCTTTGTAGGGGGTATGGGAATACATCATATAGGGCTTATCGAGGGATCAGGGTCTAGGGTTTAGGGATTATATAGGGGTTATTTAGGGATTTCCTACGAATTAAGAACCAGTAAGGTACGTAGCACCTACTGTCAGACAGTTTTTCAGAACAGAATAGCTACACGGCACCAGCAACTGGGAGAGCCCCTCACCTACCCTGAACTTTCCACTTACTTGTGCCTAGTAGGGAATGAGGGCATATAATCCCTACATGAACCTTATAGAATCGATTGCCTTATTCCCAAGTAAACCCTAAACCCAACAATTCTTATATAGTGTATTCCCTTTGTGCCTAGTAGCCCCCAGGAAGCTAAACCCTCGCTAGCTGGGCCTTTCTAGGGTTTAGGGTTTCGGGTTTAGGATTCAGACTTTAGGGTTTAGGGTCCAGGGCTTCGGGTTGACTCCAGTGATGACACACAATAAGTTCCAAGTACATTGCTGTGTATCATGCTCCTGGCCAGCACCTTTAGTGGCAATCTTCCAGAAAAGTGCACGCTGCCTGCAGATCCATAGATGATGGGGCTTCTAAGGGTGTTGATCCGACCCCTAAACCCTGAACCCCTGGCCCTAGACCCTAA